CTCTGCATGCATACAGCCCATAACTCCACACAGCATACTGATCTACTGCCTGACTGGCCAGAGGAAAGTGTGTGGAAGTGTTTGTGTGTCTACGTGTGTGTGTATGATTGTTTACGTTTGTTTGACCCTGGCTACTTGTGTGTGAGATAAAGAGAGAGAAAGAGAGAGAGTGTGTGTGTGTGTGTTTGTGTGTGTGTTTGTGTGTTTTCCTGCCTCTTACAGTAATGTCCACCTACAGTTTCCATGGAACCTCGGCTGAGCAGCTGAATCTCATCTGCTCACTTCCAACCAGAGGTCATTGATCACTCTCTGCACTGCATGTGAAGCAAAACCCAAACTGATGACAGAACAAAAAATGTACCTTGAGTGATTGAAATGCAAATGAGCGCAACATTTATAGCATTTGGGGAAATGATGCAGTTCAGGATCTCCCCAGACAGAAACAACAAATACCTTGATTGTTGCTGAATCATGATTTGAAGCGAAAGTTTTCGTCGATGTTGTTGGAAGATCCAGCCTTTTTTTCAGAAGTTGCAGAAAAAGCGAGCGGCAGATGCTGGCACTGTCTCTGGTTTGTAGATAATTGCAGAAGGAGTAAATTAAGCGATTGCCTTTGAGCTACCCTCTCTGCGGCGTTTGTAGGAAATAATTAGGTGTTTTCACCGCGTTGCAGCAGAAAAATAAAAGGGAATGCATAAACAAACCTGATGAGCAACCGACTGAAATGGCCACGAGCAGCAGAACACAATGGACGATGAAGATGACATTTGAAGTAATCACGCGCTGAAGGGGATTTTCTGTCTGTCTGCTGCAAATTTACTGTGTCATTCCTTCTTTTATGGGAGTCGGGCATCCACTCAATATTTTCATTTGCAAATTATGATTTATAAAATTTTGGAAAGCTGTGTGGAAATGGCAAAATTCAATCAGATGTCCTGGAAACAAAGTTATTACAGTTGATGGATGCAGAGGATCTTTCCAGCAATAAGTAAATTGTGATAAATGGAAAGAGAAATGCTTTTCTTTTGAGTAATTACTGAAAGAGTTTCCTTGGCTGCTTCAGGCTCTGTCAGGCAAAATCAGCCAGAAATGACATTTGTACTGTCACACTCCCGTAAATAACTCTTCATAGTTTTTCCTTTAAAATACAGCCAAGTGCTTCTCTTCATTTATTTCTTTGCATGAAATATAAACGACATTTAGTGACTGCAGAAGATAACCAGGTTACTCAAATCTAATCAGCTCTTGAAGGACTCTGTGTTTTTCGGAGGCAAAAGCACCTTATTTTTTTAACATGACAAATTTGTCCGACAGTTTGGAAACGGTGACTACTCGCCGTCTGCCCTCTACGTGTCCTGACTTTCCGCCTGCCTACCTGGTCTTGTCATCCTTTTTTATAATGATCCTTTTCCATCTGTCTGCCTGCCATCCATCAGGGGGAAAAAAAGAAGAAGAGGGCGAGCGGTGGATGAGAGGGAGAGCAGGATGGAGATGAGGTAGAGAGAGAGAGATTGAGAGGGAGAGAGAGAAAGAAGGCAGAACATAAAACTGCAGGAGCTTGTAATAGTGTTTCCCAGACATTAATTAGCCGCAGTCGTTCCTGTACAAACACACAGTAATAAAACTGATATACTCACCTCTCCTCCTCTTCCTCTCCTCCCTCCTTCTCTTCCTCCTCTGTATAGAGAAAAAGTGAAAAGTGAGAAAATGTAGGTTGAAGTGGAGAAGGAGAAAAAAAAGATAAAGGAGTGGATCACCCTCAGTGTCTGTCTGTCCTCCTCTTGTCTTGCTGAAGGGGAAGGCAAGATTCATCATGGCCTTGGCTCACTGTCTAAAGCAAATGCGCACACACACATATACACAACCACACACAACCACACACACACAAGCTTTTTTAACATTCAGTGGTACGCACGCACGCACACAGTTGCACACACAGAGAAAGGAACACATGCATGTTTAAAACTTGAAGACGCATTTGGTCATTCACACAATGCAAACACACACATACACACACACACACACACACACACACACACACACACACACACTTATACACACACTTGAAGTTGTACACAAATGTCCATTGCATTATTTGTCCTCGCTGGCAGACGGTGGAGGAAGCCCAGTAGCAGAGGCAAGGATCCTGCTTTTTTCCATATGTTCTTTTCATATACTCGTCTGTGTCACACACAAACACACACACGTCACTTTCTTCCTGCTTAAATTAATATCAGTCCCCTTTTGTCCTCTCCTCTCCAGTAGTTCGGTCAGAAAGATCAGATCCTCTGAGAGTCAAGACAAACATTCAGCTTATTTCAGCTTGTCTCGCTGCTTCCTCTCCATTAATCCTCCCTCCTCTTCTCTCGTCATGATTCTTTTACAGAATTGGATTTATTTTGGGGACCAAACTGCGAAACGTTTTGAAAACCAACCAAAAGCACTGAATGCTCAGTTAAATTCCTTGTGTTGTTCACTCAGTGGTTGATGCTCTTTTGATTTTGGTGCCAAAATCTGGTTTACCAAACGTAGGTGTCACTTTTTTCAGTTGTAGCTAATTTTGGAGTTATTGTAAAATAAATGGTTGTATGTTTTATAAATGCATAATATGAACACTTGATAACAGTACCTGACACTGGCCGGAACAACCTGATGCCCTGACACTGAGCAGCTCCAGGAGCAGTTGAGCACAAGAGCCTTATTCCCACCAAGATTCAGGAATTGAACCAACAACCCGATGGGCATTAGTGGCTATTATCATGATTAATTTTTATCATTGTTAAAACATTGAATTTCTGTAATTCGCTTTGCTTTTTGTCACATGCATCTTTATTAGTTTCGGGAAAGTAAAAGCTTAAATCGTAAAAGGGATATAAATTGTGATATGAAAAATTTAATAGGAACTTTTTTAAGAAACTTTTTCTGTCAATCATCATCTATTTTTATTTTCATTGCCTCTTACCTTATTTTATCTCACTCTCTCCCAATCACACGACAAAGACGTAGTGATTTATTAAATCAATCCTGCATGTGTTCTAAGACAACTCCTTCCTCACATTTTTTTCTTATTACCAGGGTTTTGTATTTTGGGTAATTTTTTTATTCATTTAGGCCACAATCAAATTAGAGGCAGGGGAGAAGGAGGGAATGGAAAGATGGAAGATGGAGAGATTAATGGAAAGATGGAGGGGGAGCAAGGGAGTGGGATGGAGGAGAAGAGCTAATAAAGCAGGGATAAGGAGGCTTAGAAAGTAATGATAAAATGTAGAGTGTCATACGTCATAGAGTTGATTTGACTCCACTGTGTATGTGTGTGTGTTTTGCTTGTTTTCCTGTTTGTGTTAACGTGTGTGTGTTTGGATGCCCTTGACTATATGCTGATAATATAATTGTGTGTGTGTGTCTACATGTGTACATTGGAAATGTCCAGTCCTCACAAATTAAATTGTCTTTTGAGAGATTAAACATGATTGGGGTCTAGATTAGTATTTAGTTTAAGTAAGTGTCCTCAAAACTATAGAAAGACAAATGACTGTGCGTACATGGGGGTGCGTGTGTTTTCATTTTATTGTAAAGTGTATTCATGCAGATTGTGTCTGCATGAATACACCCACTCCCTCAGGTCTTCAAATAATATAAAAAATAAAATCCACCTACGTGGTGTACACATCATTTTAATGAGTCAGCAGGTAATTCTTATTTGACTCGCTGTCATCTTTTCCTCACATCTCTTCCTTTAGTCTTACATAAGAGGGACTAAAAAAATCTGCAGATCACCTGTCACTTTGCCTCGGCTGCTCTGTGTTGTTCCCTTTGAGTTTGGATTTGCACTCGCAGTGTTGTACATAAAACACAAAAGCGGGACAGGTAATGTCAGCACAAGCACGTTTAATGCAAAACAAAGCATGAAATATAAGTCTCTGCACCATGTGTCTTTAATAGGACTTAGGAATATAAAAATAAGGCGATGATATTGATTTGCACCTGTTTGTGATCTCAAAGTGTGTCAAAAAGCAACAATGGTGAGGGAGCAGAAAAAAAAAAATTCAAAATGCTGCAGTACATTTGTGCCACTAAAAACACTGATGATGGATAAAAGCACGGGTTACTGTGCAACCAAAACCAACAATGATATTTACAAAAAGGTCAGGAAATGGATCATTGTGAAAACAGGCTTCCTTTCAAACCGTGCAGGGTCTCAGTTAGCATCTGGCTACAGGTGAGCAGTGCAGTAGTTGCAATTTTCATCATCTTTTAAACACATGGGGAAATTCCAAAGATTATGCACAAAATTTTTTTTTTATTTCTTCATTTAGCTCTGCATTTGCAAGAGTCCTTTCTGTTCAAATTAAAGGCCTTGTACAGTGTGGGTTACAATAAATAGATTTTCATTCCCAGGAATGATGGAAGAAAATCAGTATCTTAATTTTGACCATAATGGTGCCATAAAGACGAGAGAGTGATTTATTGTGTCACATGCAGGGTGTGAATGAACATAATGAAAGAGGCATCTACCAAGTTTATGCTGAATCTTGCCTTCCTGCCAAAGACAGTAACATCTTTATGGATGTGTGGGGGGGAGAGGGAGAGGGAGGCAAAGAGCTCTGTACTCTTGTTCTTTACTATGCCGTTCAGTTTCAACTTAAATAAAGATCCCACTATTTAGTAAGCAGCGTTAACTAAAGGAGGCTGAACTGCTCACACACACTCTGTATAGTGAGGGCTTGGTAGAATATACAGGTTGTAAGAGGGGATGTTTATGATCATTTTGGTTTAAAGAAGATGGTTTCACCCCTCATCCCCTACAAATCACATGCTGGTCCCACCGCAGTACCACATGTACATGTTGTACATATTGCTTCCTTATCTCCTTCCTTCCTTCCTTCCTTCCTTTCATTTCAATCCCCCAGTGATGACAAACTTGTGCAATATTACAGTTCAACCTCACTGTACTCTGACCATTTAACCCAATTTTTTTCTCTCCCTTCCTCACTGTGCAGGTGTTTCGCACAGACTTCATCACGGCCATGAAGCTGCCGGACTCGGCCCAGCTCGGCCCGGATGACTTCTACGTGCTCTCAGACCCCTGGAGACAAGAGTGGGAGAAGGGAGTACAGGTCCCTGCCAACTTGGAGGCCATACCAGAGCCTGTGGTCAGGTAGGACGCACAAAACTGCATGAACACACTCAGCTATCAATTCATGCAAGACTTAAATATCAAGGCACTGACCACAGATGATTCTGCTTCTGATCTCCTTTTCATTTTCCAAGTCATTGAAAGGCAGAATCTCAACCCACATTGTTCTTGTCATTGTGCTTTTCTGCAGCAGCATTGTTGTATAATCGGACAGAAGGTTGCTATTTGTTGGCTGTGGCTGCAGCACACAAAGACATGATGTCACCTCCATAAACACAGAGACACTGGAGGAGATCCCACAGTCACAAGGATCTCTGAGTTATGAGATTTGAACATTTGTTTGCTTGTCGTGACAAATAGTTGTTTTGGAAAATTGTCTAATTCTCAGTGGAAATGTTCTGAAATCTCAGACTCTGGTCCAATGTTGAAACGACCTCACAAATTAAATGGACTGAAGTAATTTTGATACAGTATATGTGAGGAAGCCAGTGTGCTGAGATGGAGGAAGATGTGAACAGTTTTGCCAGGATTATGCAACAAAACCTTTCTCTTTTCAAGTTGAACATTTACACATTCGTAAACATTTTGGATTGCTCAAGAAAATGACATAAAAACATTGAGTTGCAGTTAAATGTGTGGAAACCATTTGCATAAATAAACTGCATGTAATGACACTTATCAGCATTACTAGTGCAGTGTTCGTTCTAACTCTGCCTGTTTGGAATGGGCTGTTTGTTTGGCCTGTGGTGACACTGGTTGCAGCTTTCTTTCTGAAACTGTAAAAGTGACTTGCAGTAATTGAGCCGTGGAAAGGAACCCTGAAGCCACCGCTACTGCACAAAGAGCTGTTCACTGTTGTTCACTTGTGTTGATGAGTCCCAGCATACCACTGCTGCAGAGCACTGGTCACATGTTTATTTAAAGTTTCTTAATATTGAACATATTGTTTGTCCAAATCGCTCCAAATTTGACGCTGCCCTTCCTTGGACACAAACCCCCCCCCCCCCCNCATGAAAATCCCAAACATTTGAGGATACTTCCAATTTGCTACAATTGCTTTCACCTGCCAAAGGCCACCATTTAAATCCACAGACAGGAAATGATGTCAGTGTAGCCTTCAGGGAAACTCAGAGAACAGAATGCCTGAGGTGGTCATTTTAAATGAAAAAAACACACACACACACACACACACACACTACAATCTTTGATATACCACAACGATCAAAACTAAACCTAAATACAACCTGAACCTTAAAACCAAGTCTTAACCCACAAGCTGCGCTTTGAAGATGTTTGGACACACACACACACACACACACACACACACACACACACACACACACACACACACACACAGAATCAAGCTGGTAGGCAGATGTGTGCAGGCATGCACTTCGACCCACTTACATTCTCATACTGTAGATTAGTCTGTCTTCTCTCTCCCTGCATGTTATAGTGTCTCTCTATCTCTGCAGCTGCTTGACATACCCGTACAGTTGGTTTGGCTCTCTTGGAACTAATGAGAATGCTCAGACTGCCTGGTAATGGCTGTTAGAGGCATGAATCCACATATGCTGGAGGTCTTCTGTGCTATTTGTCTTCCCTACTTTGAGTTAAAGGACTAGATTAGAAAAGAAATACTGTGTTTAAAAAAAACATTTTAATCAATTAAATATGATTAAAAAGTGATTAACATACAATAAACTATTCTACAACGAAACCAGAGTGTCTGAAATGAATCTTTGACTTCAGAATAGGTTTGCATAATTAATTTCACTTGAAAAGAGAAATTGAATTTTTACAATAGGAAAACAAAAAATGAAAAATGTCCTCAGGGTGTAAATGGGGGCAGAAGATGAAGGAAATGCAACAAAAAGAAATGGGGTCTTTGAAATGGTTCTGAAAGGATAAATGTGTCACTCCTGCTGTTCATATTGTTTAATGATATTTTTCCCAATAGACACATGTGATGTGCACACACACACACAAACAGTAGTTAAGAGAATTATCAGTCTGAAGGCAGAGAGATGAACGAGCAGATTGGAGAGAAAGAGAAATGGCACTGATAGGCCTGGATAAATGGATGAAAGGGGGTTATCTACTATCTCATATGTGACAGAATGATGAAGTGATATACAGTGATGTTGAAATGGAGTGATGATGGATACATGAGGAGATAGAGGAGAAGAGGGTTAATCTAAGTGTGACGGAGCTGATGGTCTCTGTCAGAGTCTCTGACAGGGGTTTGTTCGTCTTTTTCCTCCTCTGTCATCTCGACGCGGCTCTTTTTCTTCCTCTCCTCATCCTGATACATTCAGGGGGAAATCACCAGCGATGCTTGACACCTCCTTGGTTTTTACCCATACAAGTTTCTGCGATCGCGAGAGAAAACCTTTTCTCTCGCAGGAAATTATGCCTTTTTCAGCGTTATAGGTAAAGAAAAAGGATTGATAAGAAAGAAATACCAAGGTGGCACAAATTTGGCCATTTTCGCTTTAGAAGAACAATGATCGATAGAGGTTGTTGATGTCAAAAACACCAAATTTAGGGATTTTAATGAAATCTTCCATCCACTCACTCTCTGTATTGGACAGTTGGTGAAGGGTCAAGCCTCATATCTGTAAAGTATGCACAACCCAAAGCTAAAAGGTTTTGCAAGTCAATAAACCTTAACAATTGATACAGTTACTGAAAATGTGTTCGGTTAAGTGAAGTTTTCAAATGGTTAAAGCAATTTTTGAGAATTGCTGTAGTTTTCCCTCTCTTCCCTCTTTTTCCCTTTATCTCTTAACTATTTCCATCCTCATCCAACGCTGTTTTATCTTTTTTTTTTAGTCCCTCTCTCTTCAACGTCTTCATCTCTACATCTCTCCCCCTCCCTGCCTTCCCTCCTGCCCCTCCCACCTTTCCCTCCTCCTTTCACTCTCGTCAGGCCAGAGGCGCAGAAACATTTTCATTTTTCTATTTTTTTACATTTTTTTTTCATGAATAATGACATCATCTCCAAAAATTGTTGGAGAGGAAAAAGGGCTGCGGGCCCCGTCTGGCTTTGACAACACTCCTCTTCCACGTTCGCCTCTCTCCTTGGACCATATCTGGCTGCTACAAGATTTTTTTTGTAAAACTGTTGTGGCGGGTGGTGAAGAGGTCGTCATGGTTTGATGTATTTTTATTTATTTATTTATTTTTTGCAACTTCCCTCACCAAAACACACACGAGGGGTTGCATAGAGAGGAGAGAGATGGTCTTGTCTCCCTGTCCTATGTTCCCTTTGTTTTTGTTCTTTCTCTCCTCTTCTTCTCATCCACTCCTATCCCTGTTTTCTCAGCACTTGTTTCTTTACATCCTACCTTTCCTTCCCCTGCCTTATAATTTCTCTCTTTCTCTCTTTGACTTTCCTCTTGCTTGTCCTCTCGTCTGGCCCTCCCTCCCTCCCTCCCTCCTCCCCTCTGTCTATTTCATTTTATGACTTTCTTTCTGCTCTGCTCCTTTCTCTCTCCCTCTTCCTCTCCACGGTTTTGTTCGGGGCCGAGTGGAAGTAATTAGCCGTTGCGTAACACTAGCTATGTGCAGACAGTGAATGGGGCTTTGGCAGCGGCTCTACAGCCTTAGTCCCCAGTGACAACGCCGAGCCAGAGAGGGAAATAATTACACATACACATGAGAAGATCTCTGCCTTTTCACAAAATAAAAGAAAGGAGATAGTGGTTGTTTTATTTATCGTTTTATTTCTTACCCCTCGGACTGGTGGCCGAGTCGGTGAGTGTAAAGCTGTTGTTTGTGGTTTGGCTGAACACGCAGGCTCTTTTTTAAATGGCGTGTAAAGCTGCGGCCACAGGGAGAGTCACATGGAGAGACTCCTTATCCATGTGGTTCATGTTCTGTTGGACAAAAAGATTGATTGTGCAGATTTTACAAGCAGTGCTTTTTTGGATCCTCGCTCAACCGCTCGGTCGACCTACAAGTAAACAACAGACTTGAAATATTTAAAGTTATTGATTGGATTACAAACATCAGAGTTCTGTAAAGTAGAGCCCGACTGATATAGAATTTCGGGGCTGATGCAACTGCCAACATTAGGAAGATTACCAATAACAATAAATTGGCCAGTACATTTTTTTTAAAGAAAACACAAATACAATCAAATATATAAAACATTTTAGGTAAAATCTAAACATAAATGCACATAATATATATATATATATTTTTAGTTTATTCCATACGATGAAAGTTTTCATATCGGTGCATATCAGCAGACATTAGCGCTGATAGCGGTACATCTGTGAAAGGCTAAATCAGTCAGGCTCTAAAGTAAAGTCAAGTCAAGTCAAGTCCCCAGTGAATGAAAATCTTTAGGTCATGTTTCCAGCAGCTGTGATCATATTCAAAACCTAGGTCAGGCCGACTTGGATGTTATGTAAAACCTTCAGTCAACAAGTTTAAAGCCTTGTTCAGAGAGGGATGTAAACACTGACAGTGGATGAACATGCTTGTTAAGGCAACTACTGCAATTACAACTCATGATAATACAAATACATGGTTTGGGTTTATTCTGCCATGAACCATCTGCACATAGAACATGACACCAAGAGGAAAACTAGTATAGATTCTGTCTCTTTAAACCTGTTCCTGTATCACATGCCAGCACTTATTTGGCCCCATATGTTTAAAATGCCGCCTACAGCTTTGTTAAATGTTTGTACCCATACTCTGAACATGTTTGCATAGAAAATTTAACAACTCCATCAAACACACACTGAAGGACAGGGGCAGTCAAATTTGAAGCCAATTTTGACTTATTAGTCTACATGTGTTATTACAAGCTGACAGCTGCCAAAGTACTGAACATTATTACATCACAGAGATGTCAGGTCAGTGCTGCTGAAAAAACAGTCAGTAAGATGTTCATTTTGGAGTTGTACGACTTCATGTGCTCGGCAGGTTCAGACTGAATTAGAAATTTTAATTGTTCTGGACGTTCCCCAGTAAAACTGATTGAGTTGTAATGAGGATTTCAGAGA